CCTTCCCTCCTTCCCTCCCTCCCTCCCTCCCGAGCCAAGGCCGAAAGGGTGGGGGCCGGAGGCTAAAGAGCTGTGAGCCGGCGCACACACCGACCCGGCCTAGAGGGGACCCTGGGGCGCCTCCTCCTCCCCCTCCTCCTCAGTGCTCCCGCCCGCCCGCCGGGAGTGGGGGGCTGAGAAGGGGAAGCTGCTGCGGGGCCTCTCTGGGAGGAGGAGGAAGGAGCCCTCTGCCTAGCCCCCCCCCACACACACACACAGGCACACCCCCTCAGTTCATGGGGGGGGGGAGGGCTTGGGACACTCCCTCTTCTCCCCCCACCCCCGCCTCCGCTCTATGCCGCCGCAGGGCCTCCCTCCTCCTCCTCCTCTGGTGCCCCTCCTCGGGGCCTGTCCTTCAAGGGGGGGGGGCCACACCCAGGATGAGGCCTGCGCTGCATCTGGACCCAGGGAGAGTCCCCCCCCCCCCCTAGCCCCACAGTCCCCGGGTCCCCCCCACGCTGGTAAGCTAGCTCACCCACCGTTTGCCAGCCTCCGGCTCACACGTTTCTGTCTTAGCCCAGGAAGGGATGGGGCTCCAGGGCCAACTGGTTCATGCAGTATAGCCAAAGTCGCTCATAGCTCACAACTTCAATGCCAGCAGCTCACAAGGTAGAATTTTTGCTCACAAGACTCTCCACACCTTAGAGGGAGCATTGCACAGAGCTACGGTTAAGCATGACCAATTAGCCTCAAGTGCCAGGATTTTTTTTTTCTTGGGGGGGCATTTAAATTTTTAAGGGGGCAGTTAAATTACAGTCAATTAAATTAATCTGAATGCTTGTCTTTAAAGGGGGAGACTGCCAGCCTGTTTCTAGCCCTTCCAAGAATTCCCACAGTGGGAGACCCGAGGGCCGGGCACAGTGCCGCTGCCTGTGTGGTGGTGGGGGGCTCCCCCCTCAGAAATAAGGCTTCTACACTGTGGGAAGCCAAATACAAAAGAGGGGAAAGGGAGGTGGGTTAGGGTGTAACGGGGAAAATACAGAAAATGTAAAGTGTTGACCATGTATGTTTATATCCTAAATAAAAATGTTGTTTTAAAAAAAGAAAGAAATAAGGCTTCTACACACATGCACATTTTTAAAATACAAAAAATAACCCCCACAAAATAAGGTTATTTGTGGGGCAGGCATTTTAATCAAGAGGGCAGGGCCCCCACATGCCCCCCCCCCGTAGCTATAGGCCTGCTCTCCAGTCAGCTGACGGCATGTGTGGCCCTGGCAGAGGGGCCACCTTGGTGGGGTGCTGGGGGTCCCGCCCGTCAGTCACATCTCAACATGCCCCAGCACTGGGGAGGTTGGCTGCCTATGGACATACCTCCATATATGAGGGATTCTGGGGGGCAGGTCCTTTTCCTGGGGGAACCCCTCCCCCCCATTCCCCTGAGTTCTTTTATTGGTTGGGTGGAGACCGGCAAGGGACTGAATCCCACATATATACAGAGTGAGCCGTGGTTCATCTAAAAAGCTCAGTTTATTCCATTCCACACTCTTAAGTCAGAAAACACTTTTGTAGCATATCAGTGTTCAACACAGGATATTTCAACAGAATCCCAATACATAAAATAGTGCCCTTGTATAAAATGCAGAATGTTCTGGAAGAGCCACCGAGGTCTCAAATGGAGCTTGTTGATGGCCAGCCCCTTACCACTCGTCACCCAGAGGTCTATATCTTTCTTGGACCTGTAGTTGCTGACGTATCTGTTGCTGCTGTAGTTGTATCACGTAGGACAACCATGAATGTGACGCGGGCCACACTAGAACTGACCTGATGTCCCCACCCAAATTCCTCCCTCTTCTCTCTACCTCTGGGGTCAGGAAGCTCCCAGAAAGTCAAGGGGAGTCAAGGATGCTAGTTTCAGATACCCTCTCCGTTTTGATTCTGAACTTGTGGGGTGTATCAAAATCCTCTAAGGCAAAAGTCCTGTACAGAGTTATATCGGTACCAGGAGGCCGCAGCACCAGCAGAGTTCTGTAGCCTCCTGGGAAACAGACCCAACGATCCAACTGTAGAGGCTAATTACCGTAGAAATTGAAATAGCATCGGCTTAGCAGAGGACTGAGGCTCCACCCAGGCCCTAATGCCGTGACAGGAGGCTCCCTTTGGGTCCTGCAGCTGGTAGCCACTGATGGGCCTCTTCCGGCAGGAATCTCTCTCGCCCTCCTCTGCGAAAGCTGTCCATGCTTGGGACCATCTCGCTTCCGGGAGAAGTGCGAACAGAGGCTGGAGACAGACTCCCTCTCTTGAAGCCACCTTGGGGGAGGCAGCCCCAGTGCTAGGAAGCCCCTTCCAGCGGCGTGTGGGAGCCCAGGCTCTCCTTTGGCCCTGCATGGGGAATGAGCCTCTCCTCCTCCTCGAGCAGGTTTTTCCTCCGGGCGCCTGGCTCTTCCAGGGCCAGCTGTTCCCCTCCTCCTCCGCCGCAGACCTCCCTCTCCCTCGTTGACTCCTCTGAATGAGTTGCCGTGACTCTGTCACCGTCTTTGAGTTCGGTGAACAGACACCTGCTCAGTCGTTCCGCACTTGAGCCCCCGGCGGAGCGTTTTTTACTAGACGGATCGATTTTCAAAATGACAGCATCTGTTTGCTTGTACACATTTATTTATAATTCTTCCCCTGGCGATTATCATGGGAGCTCGGTGAGTAATAACCAGCTGTGTGAATTAGCAAGGAGAGGAAGCGGTTATTTGATCTGTGAAGGGGGGCGGCAGGCAAGGCCAGAGGTAATCAACGCTCAGCAGATGCCCCCCGGAGTGCGAAGTGCCGGGGAAGGGACTCAGACCCTCCCCTCTCTGTGTGCGGGCAAGAGGCAGCCCCCCCCCACTCCCGGCGGGTCCCCTAACGGGGCTGTTGCCCTCCCTCTCTTCCTTTGCTCTGGGCCAGGGCTGTGGGCCTCCGACCCCCAGTTACCCTGCTCGGCAGCCATGATGCTGTGCCTGCTGGCCCGAGGGGGCTGGTGGGCCCTTGGAGTGGGCCGGACCCAGCATGGCCAGTGCCTGACCAGAGCCGCCTGCCGCAAACCCCAGTCTGAGAGGCGGCGGGTGGGGCAGTGGCGATAGCTCTCTGCCCCAGCTCTAAGCCTCCTGGGTAACCCCTCCAAGGGGCGATCCCTCTGGAGCCTGAGGAGGCGCTCTGGGGCTCCTGTGACCAGCACAGCCTCTCTCTCTGGGGGCATGTTTGCCCACCGGCCCGGTCTGAGTTGCCCGCCGAGAGGGCAGATGGGAGAAGCCTGTCCCTCCCCCCCCAAGTGGGAGCCAGGCGGGGGGGCCCAGGAGGCGGAGAGAGAGAGAGAGAGCCAGGGGAAGGGTAT